ATTCTTGGAACGCAATGCCCTAATAGGACAGTAGGGTATAATGAGTTCTTTAAGGTAAGATGGCATCTGCCATCACATTATCATTATGTCAATAGAGTGGAATGGAATGGTTGCAGCTCCACCTGAGTTTCCATCTGCTGGATGCTCCTCCTCCACAGAGCCTCTTGTGAGGTCGTTGATCTGCCAGATCAGCAGCTGGCGGGCATCACGCTGCTCCCGGTACTGCAGATACTGAGCTGAGAGATCAGACTGCAGACGCTCCACCTGGGAAAGAGCAGAAGAAAGTGGAGTGACTGAGACAATATCATGATAATAAACCTTGTGTAAATTAAATAGCAGTCAAAACTTCTTTTTTTGACAAAGGGATCTCCGTATTTGGGCATAAATAGCTTTGACTTACATGTGTAAAAGGCTTTTATTTAATTTGACTTTATTTGCTTTAAATTCACATTATCATTATGTCAATAGAGTTGTCTATGTTGTAATTTTGTATCTAGTTTTTCTATACTGTCATCCATATTTGTACAAATTGTAAAGCCCCTTTATCTAATGTGTTTTGCAGTTTTGAGCTATACAAATTACATTTGATTTGATTTAATTGACCAAGACAGCACATCAAACTAATATTGACGATACTATTTAGAGAAGGAATTGATGTGAAAATTAGTCGCAGTCCTTAAAAAGTCACATGAATAATGAATGGTGAGAACACCAGGTAAGTCATGTACCACTGCCTGTGTGGCTGTTTCCTTCTCCGTCATGGCCTCTATGACCCTCTGAAGTTGATGCTTCTCCGTTTTCAGAGCTCTGATCTCACTCCGCTCCTCTTCCCAGCGAGCTTGGATCTTCTTCTCACACTCTTCTGTCACCAACCTCACATGGGACCGCAGCGGCTCCAGTTCTCTGATTTGATCCTGCTGATATGCTGAACAGATATCAAAGGCAACAAATTATTTATCATGAAACAGAAGGGCTGGATAGTGTTTTGAGATAAAAAAATTACTACATTATTGAGATTTTGAATACCTATCTGCGGAGATGTGATGGGCATTTGTTAATATTTTAAACATTTTAAAGGCTAAACGGATACACAAAATAAATAACTGATCGATTATTCAACAACAAAAATATATTCGAGCTACAGATCCGCATGAAACATGATTAAAAAAATGATTTCACATTTCCAACTGGTGCAGACATATTTGTAATCAACCTGCCAAATTAAAAGCACAACTTTACCTGAATGTGCGCTTAGCTAAGTTGTTATATTTTTAGTCAACTTATTTGCAGCACAATGCGCTTTATATTGCTTTATTTTTATGCAACTTTCACTGAACACTGAAAATATAGGATGTTTTATGCTCATTGTGGTGCAAGGTTGAATTTCAGGTTCCTACAAAAACCTGTTTACAGACTTTAATTGTCTAAAAGCTTCATATTCTGTCTGGATATACCTTTATCCACCCTCTTTCACAGTCACAGTTTGCTTTGATTGGCTTGTGAGAAAAAGACGGTGCACCTTAACAAATGTAGTTCTTAAGCTGGAGATGCTTAGATGAGAAGATATGATATATTTTAGACAGCCTACATGTATCATAGGAAATAAGAAACGTTTTTTAAATCCCATGTTTTCTGACAGAGGGAACCCACAGAAACAGTCTGCTTCGTCTTGTTTCACAGTTAATGGGTTGGCAGGAACTCCAAATAAATAAATGTACATACACAAGCAGTGAAAGAGTGCGTTTTTCATAGCATGTCCCCTTTCAATGTAGCTTAGATGCAACCAGTCACTTCATTATAAACTGTCTACAACTTTATAAAACAAATCAAGGGCATTTAAGTTTGTGAACAATTATTTGTAGCCACTAACTATTTATTCCCATGGCCCTTCGGTCATTAACCCAGATTGCCACTTAAAAAATGCTGGCTAAAGTGGATGCAGCAGTTACAATGTAAACCAAATCAACCAGCTCTGTCCTTGTGGAAATGCTATCTAATTCCCCAATAAGTAGATTATTTATTTCCTCGTTTATCAAAGGCTGCTTTGTTCCTTTTATTCTATAGCACTAAATGACACCATTCAGGAAAGTGCTATACTATGAGTGTAATCCTTCTTAAGAAAGGAAAATGATGAGGCAGGCTTATTAACAGATACTGACCTAAAGTGTTTTCATATTCCCTCTTGATGGCAGAAAGAAGGGGTTGGTAGGTTTTGAACTCTTTGATGAAACAACCAAAGGCATCTCGGTAGACCTGTGGTCAGATTAAGATAATGGGATTACTCTCCTGGACTAAAGTGTGTGTACAGTATTTCCTCTGGTTTTAATGTAGCCAACCTTCCTACAAAACAGGAAAACAAAGCACCTGTAGTCTCTGTTCCTGAAACTGAGGCTCAGACGAGCTGATCATCTGCAGCTCCTTGTGAACGTAGCTCTCCAGCTGCTTCAGGAGCTGAGGCTTCCTCCCTGGGCCGGCATACATGTAACGGCTACCTGTCCAGCACAACTACATTTAACACACACACACACACACACACACACACACACACACACACACACACACACACACACACACACACACACACACACACACACACACACACACACACACACACACACACACACACACACACAGACACTCACACACACACACACACACACACACACACACACACACACACACACACACACACACACACACACACACACACAGCCACGCACACATACACACACACACACACACACACACACACACACACACACACACACAGCCACACACACACACACACACACACACACACACACACACACACACACACACACACACACACACACACACACACACACACCACACACACAGCTTTAGTGACTCAATCAAACTTTAAAATACTTGTTCTCCCCCCCATTAGTCATGTTACTTCAATGCATATAACTGTCCATACGTCTCATATCTTAATCTACAGTGTACCAATATGTATCCCTATTTTCTATAAAGAAGTGTCAATACTGGTCTAAAGTGTATTTATATTTGCTCTACTGTCAATAGTGTCTTTCTATATTAATACTGTCCATTTCTACCCCCTCTACAGTGTATTCAATATGTATGCTACATTTCAGTGTTTAATACCTATTTAAACTGTTCATAATATATAATATAATTATATCTGTTATATTTATATACTTATATTATACAGATACATTACACTGCACTTTACTGGTTCCCTTGTACTTCTGGTTAAATTGCATAGTTGACTAATGGTTGATTGATTGACAAGGAAACCAATATGGGCTATTTTAATATAATTAGTAAAGTAATACAAATATGTTAGAAAATGCTATTCTCTGCCTCTCTAATGAGGAGGTTTTTCAGATTTTTCTCTGTTTTACATCATAATAAAACGAATGTCTTTCGGTATTCGATAATCATAATTATATGTAATTGCAGTAGGTTTTTAATGAGGAAAAGGATTGATGGTTTGATGAAGCTGTTTGCTCCCTGCTTTGTTTCTCGTTACCTTTCTCACAGCAGGTTGGACAGAAACAGCTCCAGCCTTTCCTTCTTGTCCTTCCTCTGAAGTCTGGATAACGTCATGTTGTATTCTCTGCTGGTCAAATGTCAGTCTATAATAGAAAACCACAGAGCTAAGCAATGGTGGAACTACATTTACCCAAGTACTTTAGTATACATTTTGAGATAATTGCACTTTATTTGAGTATGTATATATATATATATTTTCTGCCACTGCAGATTTCTACTACACTATTCCCTTACACTTAGTTACTTTTGACCTTAATAACATGTTGTGTTATATACTACTATCTACTCAGTAGTCCAAAAGGTATCCAAACGTTTCCCTACATTGCAAAATAACAACATAAAAAGCATTTATATGCATTTGTTAGTGATACAAATATAACTCTATAGTATTCAAAAATAAAACAACATTTTACAAAAAAAACGTTCAGCATCATAAGTACTTTTATTTTAATACTCTAAGTACAATTTGCTGATAATATTTGGCTACTTTTACTTGTAATATTTTGAACTCATGAGCTTTACCTATAATGTAACTTACAATTATTAGAAGACTGAAGAAATATATATTAATATCATCCATATTAATAGTAGCCTTTAATATCGTTGCTGTATGACAATCTTTAAAATCACTTGCCTTTGTGTTTTTGAAGGCGTTAAAGGTGGAAATGTAACATCTTTATGTGGCAACATCTCTAGCGACTGTATGAAGTCTAAATAATTGTTTTTAAAGTTTCTGTCCTTTTGAAATGTCTATATTTGGTCCATTTAGCTAAGCTAAAGCCTTTAGCTCCAGGTTGGCTCTAGCATCACAGCTCATAACGTTGTAACAAGGTTTCCATGGTAACAACGACGGGGCAGCAGCAGGACCCACATAGTAGACCGCAGCACGCCGGGCTGAATTTCAAACTGTGTACAAATAAAGATGTTCCTCCTAAATAGAGACGAAAGAAACACTTTCAAACCAAAGGAAACTGCAGCTTTCAAATATAAATGTGTGTCGTACAAACCATCAGTCCTGACTTGTTCCAATAGCATACATGATTAAAACAGCCAAACCTACTTTGTAAATATCACACACAAACAACAATCTCCAATATTTATAGGCCTAATACGTATTTTAATTTAGAGGTTATGGCATAGAATAATATAAAATCACCATGATTGAAAACAAACGTGTATTTTAAAGTAGGCATATTTTGCAAACAATATTAACTTTGTTTTCGTTCTGGAAAGTGCTACCAATGCTATCCTCTAGCTCGCAAATATATACGCTTATGTTCCACAAATACACGTGCCACATAAGGATACAATTGGAGATTAAGAATTATATCATATAATGTTCTAAAACGGACTATATTTCCTAGCTCCCTGTCTCTGTGGAAGGTCTGAACCAGGATAACAGCAATGGGGCGGTGTAGTCATTTCTAGAGACAGTATCATACAAAGGAGCATGCAGCTAAACTACAGTACCCAGACGGCACTGCTCTAGCCTACAGTACACTCTGCTGCTTATCCGGGGATGTCACACCGCTGCTATTTTCTCCCCTCAGTCTCTCTCACTCTCAGCCTACAGCTCAAGCGGACTGACACGGGGATTTGGATAGAAAGACACGAACAATAAGATACAAAACAGAGGCCAAAATGGCAGAGCTTGGAGCGGGAAGCCTGCCGTTAGGGGATCCTGCTTTTAATTACCAGGAACACGAGCTAAACGAGAGGCTGAAGCGGCTCTACCCGGCTGTGAACGAAGAAGAGACCCCTTTACCCCGATCCTGGAGCCCCAAGGATAAATACAGCTACATTGGGCTGTCACAGAACAACCTGCGGGTCCATTACAAAGGTTAGAGAGCTGGTTCAGCCCCGATGGCATGAACAAGTTGTGACAACAGCAGAGGGTCTCAAATCTGTCACTGTGTTTTTGCGGAGGGGGGTCTCTATCTCACTCACTCACTCACTCTCACGCACCCAGTATGTGATTATGTTGATTGTGTATGTGTGCGCACTCCTGGTAAATCTAGTCTGAGCTATCTCTCCTGTCCTCTAACCTTGCTTTGTTTCACAAATGAGCAGAGGAATGTCCAAATGGGTGACAGTGAACTCGCTAACCCTGACAGTTGGTCTTTTTACCATCACACTGAAATACACATTTTACCACACGACCCTCCTTTGTTTATATACCGTTTATGACATTATTTGTTTGCAGTAAACTAACTGTCACTGACGTTTCGCCATAGTTATGCTGATGGGGGACATTGGCAAAAGTAACGACGCATATACCTTAGCTAACTAGTGGTATTTAACACACTAGAGTTAGCTAACAGCAAGCTATATGTTGAGCAAATACAGTAGTTAGCTTTGTGGCTAACCAGCTAACGTTAGCTCACCTAGCTGTTGTATTTAACTAAACAGTAGGATAAGCTGGCTACCAACTATGGCACAAGATGAACACGAGCCAAACTTGTTGTTAGCACATTACAATGTAGCTAGTATTGATGGGTAATGCTGCATATGTTAAGCTTTTGTCAACAGCAAGCACCAAAATAGAATAAAAATGGCATTGTTGTGTTTCTCGCGTGATTTCATTGTCAGTGTTCGAGCAGTGTTTTCCAGAATTCGTAAATCATTTTTTTCCAGACTGGAAGCAACCGGTTCAACTCCATTCAGATCTGTATGTGCCCTGAGCTCAACAACGGTCTCATGTCCAACCTCCAGCAGGCAGCTCGTTTCCAACAGCTGCTGTGAGGAGGAGGCCTCTGCGCATTGCATTAGGCCAAATGTACCGATGTTGTAATAAATCCTTGGTATCGGTTCATTTTGACATTTTTACTATAACAGACACTTTACTAGGCAGATGATGCAGGCAATCACTTAGTCGGATGGCTACAAACCGTCAGTATGGACTGTCAGGCCTGTTAACAGGATCCTTCTATACTGTATATCCAACATCTAAACAAAGTGATTATATGTGATGCCCCTCTTCTCAGTCTTTTCCCTGCTTTGCTATTTTACATCAGGCGACATCAGGGCATTCCCTACCCAGTAGCAGGGAAGCTAGCCCTGCATTTCAAGCTGTGAAAGCTCCACAGAGGCATTGCAAGGCCACTTTTGGGCCCTGTTGTTGGCTGTTTACATCAGTGAAACGTGCAGAGGATGAGAGGATGCAGACAGGCTGTGTAACCCATTTTGCAAAGCTTATTAGTTTGGCCCGTAATGGCCCTGCTGTTTGAAAAGCATGGCATTTGGTAAAACCAAGACTCTCAGGCAAAGAGCCAAATATAACCCACCGGTTATTTGATGCATAATGGATCAGTCCCTGCTGTTGATATGAGCAGTTGTTAAGTTGAATCCAAGCCTACATTCTGTCAGTGGTGTAGCTTGCATATTTGTTGTGAATGCTGTTGCTCCATGTGCATTTCTGTTAAAACATGTGACAAAAGAAAAGGACATTCTGTCTAGAGTGATTCACTTGTCACAGCTGTGGCCCAGTGATGTATGTCTGAAGATTAGACATGTCATGTTTGAGTTTTCTATGTAGGGCATGTAGTCTTTATGTCTATAAAAGGGGCACAGATTTAGTGACACTGCACAATTGTTCAGGGATTATATATACATAGGTATATTCTGGAGTGAGCAGGATATTTATTTTCCTCCTGGTCGTTCCAGCTCCTGCTCTGTTCCTTCACCCTTGTGGTTTGAATGCTATTTTGACCAGTGTGCCAATTTTCTCTGTTTAATGCCACACAGTGTCTACCTAGTCCTGCTGTGCGTGACACATTTATCCCCACAGTCTCAACCGATAGATACATAAACAGTACAACACATAAACAAACACATTGATGTAGTGCCTATCAATACACTAATTAAATGATTGATTCTTTTTTTATCTTACAAAGACTTCAGTATTCCATGCTGGATTTGTTTTGCTTTATACTGATATTGTAAACATGTCATTATTCTTTTAAATGGCTTAAAGACACAATACGTGGAAATAAATATATATATATATATATATACACCAAAGTACTGTAGCATAGTTTTGTCTTTACTTCTCGTTATTGTAAATGAATACACAGCTGATTACAAATATTATTGCTAGCATTCAATCCTTCTTTAAGTTCCTCAAGTATAATTAAGATGTTTAAGTACTTTAGGAGAATGAAAAACCTACTATTTTATGAATATGCTGTTTACCGTCAGCTATGGAAAAGTACTCAGGTCTTTTACTGAAGTACAAGTACACACACACACCATATGTTTTAAATACTCTGTTACAAGTAAATGTCCTACATACTTACTTACTTATGTAAAAGTACAAAAGTATTATCATCCAAATGTACTTAAACTACATGTTATGGAAAATGGCCCATAATATATCATAAATGACTGCAATATGATGATGCATGTGTTCATCACAGCTGGTAAAGCTGGAGCTAGTTTTACCTTCTCTATATACTGTAATGCTCCTGGATATTTTAACCAATCATTATATGACAATGTTTATTCATTCATGTTTTATTGTATTATCTAATAATCTGTATCTGTAAAGTAACTAGTAACTAAGGCTGTACAATAAGTGTAGAGCAGTAAAAGTACTATTTTGTCTTCTAAAATGTAGTGGAGTAAAAGTATAAAGTAGCATCATTTGAAAATACTCAAGGAAAGTACAAGTTTCTCAAAATGGTGCTGAATTTCAGTGCTTGAGTAAATGTTCTTTAATAGTAAGCATGAAGTTATCCATCATTAAATAGTATATAAATACATAATTCAATATTTTTCTATAAAGCACTTTTCAAATACAGTTTTGTGGTTCACAGAAAAGCAGTAAGGGACCTTAAATGCTTCTTTAACAACTTGTTCTCCCTGTTCTCTGGTCAATCTTTCTGTTAGTACATTAAATATCTGATTCATTTGTGCCTGACTGAATCATATTGTTAAAACAGTGATTGTGAATGACTATCATTAGGCTGAAGTGTCATTGAAACAACACTTTGACATTTTGGGACATTCACTTTCTAAGCTAGCTACTGCCTCTTGCTTTGCAGAGAGACTGGAAACAGAAAAAACCGCTTCAATCAGTAAAAAAGACACTTTGTGATTTAACAGGGGTTTATGTTGCCTTGGCCTGACACATTAACTTCCTGAAGTCTCTGCTGGTTGCCTGCATACCAAGCAAGAACATGCTAATGCTGCTGTTTCCATTCTTTCAAGATGGATACGTTAGCCGCCACCACAACAACACCTAGCTAGGTTGCAACACCAATGAGAGATAGGGCGACTACCAAGGAAAACACTTAGTTTTGCGACTCTTCTTTCCAAGGTGATGGTTGAATTTTTTTAACTTGGCAAGATAAGCACGACTTGGCGTTTGACCATCGAGACCACAGGAAACATAAAGGGAAATATTCAAAAAAAAAATTCAAGTCTGAATTCCCTGAGAACAACACCATGAGACAGAATTAGTCTTCGGACAAAGTCAACGTTTTGAATCTGGTCTAGGCAAAAATATAGTTTAGCTAACCTTACCAAACATGTCTGTTTCATCTAGTTTAGGCTAGCAACCTGCGTTATATTTCCTGATTCCCAGAGCTCATGTTTTATTGCCAATGTTCAAATGTATATTGACGCATTCAGTATGACGTTCATTCACTCACATTCATGCATTTTGTGATGTACAAGGACACTACGCATGCACCTTTGTTAACATTGGCAGATGATGACATTTGTGTCACACTGACTCTTGAGTAGGTAGGGATGGGTATCGAGCCCCGGTATTAAACGGGCCCCGGGGCTGAATTATTAAAGACCGTGGTACCGTTAAGCTCCGACGTTATCGGTCTTTTTATCGGTACTGGAGACGTAAAAAATACATGTTGTATGTATTATTGTAACACAAACATTATATTGCAGTTTTGGTGTCGCCAACTCCGTTTCTAATACGCAAAAAGACTGCAAAATGCGTCTATGATTATTTTTACTATTTTCGATCTTTCCAATCCAGTCGAGAGATCTCTCTCCCCCGCCTGCTTGGGAGGGGGCGGGGCAGTTTACACACACGCAGCTGCTACATTCAGCAACACACACACACACACACACACACACACACACACACACACACACACACACACACACACACACACGGTGGAGATGGCAGAGAGAACGCGCTCCGAGGTGTGGTTAAACTTTACCCGTCTCGATGCTCGTTACCAAAAGTGCAATAAGAGTTTAGCATGTAAGGGCGGTAACACGAGCAATTTGTCTAAACATTTAGCAAAAGTGCTCCACATTCAGACGGAGAAATGCACCGGGTTCCACTGTCTTTCTAGCAGCTCTGTAGCCCCCCCCATACACGAGTAACTTTTCCACGTCAGGTATTATGTATGCTAGCAGCAACACACGGACATTATACAAACATGGGTTAATGATTAGAGGTAACTGAGTTATTTATTTTGTTAAAGTTTCAGCTATTCTGTCATCAGATTATTTAATACGATTTGTCAAAGCATTGTTGTTTCTTTTGATGTGAAATATTATTTATTTAATTTAAATAAAAAGTAATGTTAGTTTTGTTCACAATTTGTTTAGTTAGTTTATCTTGTTTTCCCCCCCAAAAGAACCGATAAGAGTACCGTTAAAAGACTGGACCGATAAGCGGTATCGATAAAAGTAGTAGTACCGTTAAAACCTTAACGATACCCATCCCTACTCTTGAGCTGATGCCAGTGTAGAAAGTATGATACTTGTGTTAGCCTGTGAACTGCTTTAATTAACCATCAATGCTCTGGTATACTGTATCCTACCTGGCCAGCAGGAAATGGATGACAGACTAGCTGGTAAACATAG